TAAGTGATACTGTAAATTCAGAAATTGTTGCATGCATTTATTATTTCGATTTTAGGAGAAAGGACAAAAATGTGAGATTTATTATTGCATTTTCTGGAAAATCTGCATACAGACATATGTATCAGATTCAGAATATGAGTTCTTATTATTGCAATTCTCACCCAGTCACATTATTTGCAAAAATAAAAACGTCACAATAATTTCTGAATTCACAGTACATAAAAAGTGCAGAACAGCCACTAGAAAAGTTAAGTTGGGTAAGGATTAGGAACCAAACAAACTATTGCTATGAACAATTATTAGATCAAGAAAAGAGCTACCATGTAGTCAACATTGCATTTGAATATAGAATTCGACTGTGAAATGGATGTTATCTCATGAAACATACTTTATATCTATTGACAAAAAAGTAGTGTTTGTTATATTGAAATAGGAGTCAGATGAATTTTTGATATTATTATGCCTGTGGAATTTGAATATTAATAAAACTCCATTCTCTTTTTCTTTGTAATTGTATCAACTTTCTGGCCACTTAGAAAAATTATGGCTCAAGTTCCAATATCACCATTTGGAGGGTTGGGCATATCATTTGCATTGGCACATCACTGTTACTATGTGCAGTTGTTTTATTTTCTCTGAAGCTGTTGACCTAATTTTGTGTCCGATCTTCTGTTGCTTTTTGTTAAATTCATCCACAATTTGCACTGTCTCAGTTTGTACACTTGTCCATGGTTACATTGTTGAAGGTTGCATTGTGGGTACCATGTGTTGTGTAGCTGTTTCAATGATGTTTAAACATCTTGTACCTCTTTTTGAATATGTTTTTTTTGTTTACTCTTTGAAGTTACAACTTTTATTATGCACTACTTTCACAAGTTAAATTGGAAGTTGACTGTGATCAAGGTAGTTTCAAATTGAATACAAATTAATAAAATAAAGACTGAAAAACACCCAATGGATGAATATCACAATTTTATTGCACAATTTCATAGAAACAATTTAACAATTGTTTTGTCATTTACATGTAAAATATGATATTTATGATGACACAATAACAATGTTTTCTATATTGGAAAAGACTTAATTTGTGAATGCTAGGTTTTGTGGTTAATGGATTTTTGAATTTAGAAAAAAATCTTATGCCAAGCCTCACTGTCTTGGAGGGACATTTGTAGTTTTTGTCAGTCCATAGCATTTTGTCAAGACTATTTCTCTGAGACCTTTTGCCCAAAAACTTTATATTGGGTCAAATTGTTTTCTGTTATGTATGTATGTATATGTATGTATGTATACTATACTTTCATTTTAACATACTGTAAATTCAGAAATTATTACAAGGTTTTAATTAATTCGAATAATACGACTACTTGAGTATTGCAGTAATAAGAACTTGCATTCTGATATCATATACATATATCTTTATGTAGCTTTTCTTAAATTTGTAATATTTAAACCTGCATTTTTACATTCTTCAATAATCGCAATTATAAATGCACACAATAATTTCCGAATTTACAGTAATTGTTTTTTTGTTTGTTTGTGTTAAATGCCATTTTCAGTTACCTTAGCTACTGTGGATTCATTATTATTCGTGGGATACCAATTTTCGTTAATTTCGTGGTTACAGGTGAAGCACGAATTTAAATGTTCAACGAAGTACAAATTTTCTATAGGCTTGTATGCAGACCTTAGTAAAACCAAGAAATCAAATATCCACGAAAATACAAAGTTTCATCAATCCACAAAAATTAATGAAATCACAGTATATTATGGTGGCCAGTTTTTATTAAGAGAGGAAGACAGAGTGCTGGAAAGAACCTCTGATCTTTAACAGAAAAACTGGCAATCCTTGTTGATTAAGATCGGAGGGAACTCATCTTGCCAGAAGCTTGGTTCAAACTCACAACCTCAGAGTTGACAGGCTATTGATCACTAGATTAACTTCTCAAATCACTCTGCCACAGAGGGTCTATAATTGAAAAGTTAGGGAGTTATATGACTTTGACCTTTTGACACCTATTGCCACCCTTCTATGAGACCGTATGTTAAAGCTTTTCTACTTAGCTTAGATTTTGATATTAGGGAATTATGGGACTTTGACATATTGAATCCTATTTGCGCCCTTCTGTGAACTTCTACTGCTTTCATACTTAGTGAGATTGTTTGTCTTCATGTGTAGTTGACCATATTTTATTATCATCCAGTATTTTGACCACTTGATTTCTGAGTCTGAGTACAATATTCATATTCAAAAGTTTTATGACTGTAAGCCCTGGACACAACTGGAAATATACTATTACAGGGTCTGGAAAATCTTAGACATACTATGGGTTTATTTATTATCGTGAGTATTAATTTTTGTGGATTGCCGGGAAAATTTCATTTTTGTGGATATTTGATTTAGTGGTTTTGCATACAGGCTTATTTGTTTTTCGTTCGTTATTTTGTACATAAATTAGGCCATTAGATTTCTCGTTTGAATTATTTTACATTTGTCATTTCAGGGCCTTCTATAGCTGACTATGCGGTATGGGCTTTGCTCATTGTTGAAGGCCATACGTGACCTATAGTTGTGAATTTCTGTGTCATTTGGTCTCTTGTGGAGAGTTGTCTCATTGGCAATCATACCACATCTTCTTTTTATATTTATAGAAATATTTTAGTTCGTTAAATATTTAAATTATTGGTTCACCCATACCTACGAAAATTGATATCCCACAAATAATAAAAAGTCCACAGTATCAGTAATTTCAGAAAATAAGAAGATTTGAGTGTTGAAAATAAAACTTATATTAATCAATAATATATAAATGATTAACTTTCTTGATTTTTTTCACTGGTGTCACTTAACCCGAATAATTCAGTCGTTATATTCGGCTGATCTACGATTACTTCATTAATGCCTGAATGCATAGACAATGAAAATCTTCAATCAATCATTCGGAATTAGCTTCGGATTTTACCTTTCTCGATAAAATTGAGATGATTGCTGGTTGGTCACCTTTTCTACAGGGCACCAATCACAATCCTGGATTCTTGAAGAGTTTTTATTGTGTTAGGAATTCAGGCCCTTGCAAGTAGGAGAGATCGATTATGGGGAGGGACTGAATTATTTGGGTTAGGTGTCACTGTGTTTTATACATTGACAATTATTCCTGATGAACAAGGATTTTAATTGATTTAGCAAGAGGAAAAGAATAACAAAAAAAATTACGATTGATTTGTAAGAATTTAATTATAACACAATGTATAGAACAAAAGCTATAGGCCTTGACTGTCCTAAATGTTTAATGTTTAGATAGCATTCTGTTGTACTGTTGTACATAAATCAAAGATAGAAAATTTGTTATATACACAATTTTGGCATCTATGTATTGTTAAACCATTATACATGTCAAATTATGATATATGTAGTGATAATTTATTAAAAAATACAAATGATCAAATGTTTATTTATCATGTAGCTAAAAATTATTGTGCTGCTACAAATACATTATAAACAATCATAAAATGATTCAAAATAACAGATATTTTAACAACCATTATCTGTTGTTATATCTGTACATTCAACATTCTTCTGAGCCCCATTTGGAACATAAAAATTCTATAATTTTGCTAGGGTCAAATATTATTTGCCATACCGTAATAGAAATCACAGTAATCCAATATAGTATGGTTAACCTTACTAGGGCTCCTCTGATTAATCGGCAGAGAATGTAGTAATCATCTTGTTTGTCCGTCCATCCATCCTTCATAAATGGATTCAGCTCTCTTAAAACCCTTTGAGTTTGGTAATGAACTTGACATGCATATTTACCACTGCTAGTAGGTATGTTGCATTCAAGGAAGAGAACAGTGCATTAAAAGTCTTGGTCTATAACTAAGTTCAACTTAGTCACCCATCCTAGTGCACACCCCCCAGAGTTTGTTGATGAAGCTTGGCATGATTATCTATGTCACTACTAGAGAGTGTATTTCTTACAAAGATAAAAATTCTTCGTTGAAAGTTATGGTCAACTTTGAAAACTGTACATTGATGAATATGTCAAAAAAGAAAGTTGATCTTAAACAACCCCATGAATTATATACTGGTTTCTGTATTCTTGAATTTTTTTAGTCATTTTCTCTATTCTTTATATTTTTTGCCCATTATTCTCTATTCTTTATATTTTTTGCCCATTATTCTCTATTCTTTATATTTTCAGCCCATTTTTTCTGTACTATTTACCCATTATTCTCTATTCTGATAACCCCATTTAGACCTTCTTTGTTAATTTGTATGCAGCAGACCTTTCTATTGGCCCCCATCGATATCCTTTACTGGACCTCTAGTTTGTAATTGCTACTGGCACATGACTGGCAAACTTAGTAGTTTAAAATAAACCACTGTACATTTTCAGTAAAGCATTTGTCTATATGACAACATTTTATTGCTTCCACAGAGATTAGACCTTTTTGCACTCTTAAAGGATGTTATTCTAAATAGAAATTCTGAAAATTTAAAATTGTTAAAGAAAATAAAGAAAAAAGTAATGAGTTATCATAAAACCATTTCTAAAATTAATCTATTTTCATTGGACTTTTAGAAAAAAAAAGCATAATAAATTTTATAGTAAAAATAAAAAACTTATGATATAAAAAAAATACTGAATATCTAGATAAAAATAAAAGAAAAAAATATTATATGTTCACAAGGGCAGATTAACCAGTATCAGAAATATTCTCATTAACCAGTATCAGAAATATTCTCCTACATCTGTGATATATTTGAGTTGTCTCCCTTTGAACACTTATTAAATCTAATCAATAGTCAACTATAACTGAAGTACTTGGAATTATAAAATAAATAATCTATAATCTGAAATGACCAATGAATTGAATGGGTTAGCCCCTTAAAAAAGACTAAAATAAAAGCCCTCAAAAAACAAAAATAACTTAAAAACGGCACTAGATTTACATAATAAATAAAAAGGGATGTTACTTCATTTACAATGTTCATGTTTTCTGACTTTCAAAAGAAAGATTCTTTTGTAAGGTAATATTCACTTATACATATGTTAAGTCAATCCCTTTCATCTCTAAGATGTTAATTTCTGATGTTCAAACTCTTGACAATCTTGATGCTTAACTTGCAATAAAATGCTTTGTTTCTGAAATTAATGCAGTACTGATTTCATTGTCAGAAACTTAGAAATAGCAAATTGGTTTACTTTTTTTCTGATTCACACTGAAAATCAGCATTGTTTGAACTTGTAACCAGTTAAGTTTAGGTAACCAGTTAAGTTCAGTTCAGTTTAAGCTGTTGGTCAGCTGAGATGATGTCATACAGGTGAATCTTCTGGTAATTCTGACATTGGTTTGAAATACTCAGCTTTGTCAAAACTTTCAAAATCTGACCTTTTGTTATAGGGATCATAATGATCATTTTGGTCCATCAGTCCATTGAACGGACCATTTGGAACAGGGTCATTAGGTTGTGGAATTTTCTTTTCTGAATTGAAAAGCAGTATTATTAGTTGTATCACTAATTCAATTAGTTCCATGATTGTCAACACTGAAATGCCCATCCATAAACCCAATGTTCCACCTATATCGGCAAATAAATCCTCTATTTCATATGCTGCACTTTGTTTAAATTCTACTACATTTAAATCTTCCAAGTAGATATTGAGACGTATTAAGTTTTGATGTATAAGAGTTGATGCTCGTATTAGTCTTTGACGTTCTGTTAGGTTGATGTTTGTGTGGTATAATTTTTCAGCATGTGCTTCTGGATCATTGTACAGTTTTTCATATTGCGTGACATGTTCATGAAGATAATTGTACGCTTCTTTCAAAAATGTGTTATCTAACTGAGTTTTATTGTAAAATTTTTCTAGTGCATTTTGCTGAAAAAATTCTAAAGGCCAATATGATATTGAAAGGGCTTTCTGATAGGTTGTTTCCTGACATGGTTGGTAGCAACCACAGTCTGCTTCATAACTCCGATCATTTGCCAGTTGTCTAAGCATATCTTGTTCACATTTCAAATCTGGTAGCAAAAAGTAATTTTTTCTCTGATTGGTATTGCCATCATGGCCTCCTATATCTTCACAGTCCATTTTCTCAAAAATTTCTCGCCAGTTTTTCATTGCTCCACAATAAGATAAATTACGATTTTGCAGATCCGGTAAGCCAGACGACTTGCACTTACATTTTTCAATAACTTTTTCCTGCTTACATAACTGTAAACAAGCAAAGATTGTGTTGCTATAGTGACTGTCTTTATATAAAAGGTCGTTTGTACAGTTTCCATATGGATATGGTAATCGAGTGTTTATCACAGCTTTTAATCCTACAGAAGAAGAAAATCCGGGTGGAATGTCAAAACCATGATCCACAGGACTAGGCATTGTATTTGGAGCATGCACTTGGACACGTAATCCTGCGCTGTGAGCAATGTTATTGTTTATATTATACAGTCCATATGCTCCCAATGGTGGGTCATCATTGTCAAGAGCAATGACCACAGATAAACCATACTCTGGTCCTGTGGCTTGAATTAAAATCTTTTCAGCGAGTCGTTTACTGTTGAAAGTATAGCAGTTAAAGTAATTCTGTCCATCAAAAAAATGTGTGAATTTACTTGCATTGCATTTATGTTGATTAAAGCGACAATGCAAGAGAATGTCATTTATATCATGACCTGATGCCATAGCTTCATTATTCAGATTTTCAAAAAATGCCTGTGTTGACTCCATTCTAATTTGTTGTTCACCAAACCGAGAACACTGTTGAAATTTGAACCAGTCCACAACTTTTGAATGTCTTCTCTCCATTTGATGTTTGATTTTTGTCAGTGATATTGCCTGAATATTGCAGATAGTCACAGCTGGGAATTCAACTGGCATTCCAGTTTTCATTTCAGACACTTCAACCACAGAAAACTGTAAATATTTTTTGACTAGTAGTGACAGTTGAAGAGTAGCGGCTGTAAATCCAACAATAACCAGCAGGGCCCACATTACTTTCCGTTTTGTTTTAATAGAAGTGGCTATCTTAGAAAGTCCATGTGCAGTACTTTCAGCTCCTAATTCTGTGATGATATTTAGTGCTGTCTGGTTTCTTCTAGAGCCTCTGTCTTTCACCATCCTAAGATGGTCATGGATGTAGTTAAGCTTACGTAGGGCAATATATTTCATATGTTCTCGAGGAAATCCCCTGGAATAGAACAAGACGTACATTAAAACATTAAAATATTGATATTTTTTAAAGTGGTAATAAACATAAAACATTTTAAACATTGTTCAAGAATACTAAATCAAACTCGAAAATTAAATCACAGAATAGTTATCAGAAATAAAGACTGACTTACAAATATTTGAATATTATGGTTGTAGTAACTTCAAAACTATTGACTAAACCAAAGTAATATGTGTTCTTCATTGAAATGATAAAAAGCCAAAAGGAGATAAGTTTGTTTCCTCACATCCCTTCTGGATCTAGTAAATGCTGCTAGGTCAAAACTTTTGTTATACTTAAAAAATATATTTATGTATGTGTGATCCTGTGTCGATTTTGAAAAAGTGTGGTGCACCATGTGTTGATTCAGCAATTAACAGTCTCTTCTAAAAAACTGGTGAGAGGAAACAATTTTTAATGAAAGTCAAAGGCTGTCAACATCTAGCAAACAAATATGCTCTGACTATTGCTTAAGGCTGTCTTGAAGTAGTGAAATAGTAGCTTTTGCTTCTTTTTTTTTTAACTTTAAAGATGAAAAACAACAATAAATGTGTTGTTTCTTTGGTACAAAATGTATGTCATATCTCTCCTTTTCAATAGGATTTATTTTATTTTTCTGGTTAAAGGAAGACAACTCCAGTGTAGAAAATATTTGAGTCAACCTTGGCAAATGCTTTTGATGACCATTACTTATCTAATTTAAAAAGAGGCAGACGATAATAAAACTGGTAATCAAAACCATGGTAAAAAAACAAAACAATGAAATGAAAAACAACAGTCTACAAAACACTTATCATAAAAAATTAAAGACTGAACAACACAAACCCAATGAAATGAAATACAACAGTCTATAAAACACTTATCATAAAAAACTAAAGACTGAACAACACAAACCCAATGAAATGAAATACAACAGTCTACAAAACACTTATCATAAAAAACTGAAGACTGAACAACACAAACCCAATGAAATGAAAAACAACAGTTTGCAAAACACTTATCATAAAAAACTAAAGACTGAACAACACAAACCCAATGAAATGAAAAACAACAGTTTGCAAAACACTTATCATAAAAACTAAAGACTGAACAACACAAACCCAATGAAATGAAATACAACAGTCTACAAAACACTTATCATAAAAAACTAAAGACTGAACAACACAAACCCAATGAAATGAAAAACAACAGTTTGCAAAACACTTATCATAAAAACTAAAGACTGAACAACAAAAACCCAATGAAATGAAATACAACAGTCTACAAATCACTTATCATAAAAAACTAAAGACTGAACAACACAAACTCCACCAAAAACAGGGGGTATCAAGTGCTCCTGAATGGTAAGCAGACCCTATCATGTTGCTCATGTAAGCAAAAATCCAGGATTAGACTCATACAATATTGTTACAATCTGGGGAAAAAGAGGATGGAATTGTTATGTTTTGGATAGTCAGTTCTTTTCGGAAGTCCTTGATTTTTGATTTAGTAAAGATCTTAAGAGCTCTATGGAATTGATAACTTCTTTAAATTTTTTTTAGATATCAGTCTTATGTCAGCTTTGATTGGGTTGTCAAAAAGTTTGGCCTAATGTCAAAGTTTGCTTGGGCACATGCACTAATGTTAATTATTTTGTAGTTTCTCAAATATTACATAGGAATGTTTCAATGGTCAAAGCTTAGTTTTTAATTCTGTGCTAATGTCAATTTTTTTTTTGAGAACATGAACTAATATGTATAGATTTTATTCCTAAAAATATACCAACCAGTCCTGAGCATTTCTATAAATGAAAAGTTGATGATTTTCTGATTATTGATCATGTTAATAAGATATATTTCAAGCTATGAATCATTGCTATATACCTTCAACATTCATTCTCCATTAATATCAGGTATTAAATACTCTGACTAATGAAAATAAGATGATCTGAATTCTGTTTATGCTAATAGGATTAATAAATAAACAAGCAGTATATTTTTAGAGAACGAGGACAAAGCATATTAATGTTAATTGCTGTGGACATGTTGTAAATGTGGGATTCTATAGTATCATGAGCATGACATGTATGTTTTTATTAATCATCCAAATATTTGGATATCTAACACAGTAACAGTGCCTTATTTTTATACCAATTAATAAAATATAACAATTGTTCTAATTTGTTTACTATGATGGATCCTGCCTCCAATTCCTGTCAAATGAAAACAATGGGCTGTTTAAAGCTTGCTTTGCGGTGCAGGGTTTGCTCATTGTTGAAGGCCGTACATGTAGTGGCCTAATAATTGTTTATATCCACTTCATTTGAACACTCAGGTGGATAGTTGTCTCATTGGCAATCATACCACATCTCCTTATTTTTATATTGATAATTTCTGGAAAATTGTATTGCTTTTCTAAACATAAGATTAAAACTAAAATTGAACAAAATTCATTTTTTCTCACATGTTTATGGCCAACTTGGTATAAATTTACACACAACCATATAACTAGTTATTTTTTTGAGAAACTATATTTAGATTTCTATCTCGGGTATGAAACCATCTATTTTTTTTTTTAAACCACTTTCTCACCAAAAGCATGCAGTATGTTATTGAAAAACCATGACAAATGAAAATGAACTAAACATTGCAAGTTTTTAAATGGCATCTTTTGTTGCAGCATGTGTTCTGTTGATATTTTGTATATAATTTTCATGCTAGAATCTGACTAAAATTTTCCTGTTAGAATCTGAATAAAATGTTCCTATTAGAATCTGAAAAAAATGTTCCTATCGGAATCGGAATAAAATGTTCCTATTAGAATCTGAAGAAAATGTTCCTATCGGAATCTGAATAAAATATTCCTATCATCATCTGAATAAAAGATTTGTATAGAATCAAACTGAAATGTTCTTAACAGAATCGAAATAAAAGAATCTGATTAAAATGTTTCTGTCAGAATCTGAATAAAATGTTCCTATCAGAGTCTGAATAAGATGTTCCTATCAGAGTCTGAATAAAATGATCCTATCAGAATCTGATTAAAATGTTCCTATCAGAGTCTGAATAAAATATTCCTATCAGAGGCTGAATAAAATGTTCCTATCAGAATAAATAAGAAGATGTGGTATGAGTGCCTATGAGACAACTCTCCATCCAAGTCACAATGTATAATTCAGAGTCTGAATAAAATGTTTCTATCAGAGTCTGAATAAAATGTTCCTATCAGAATGTGAATAAGTTCTGTATAGAATCAAACTAAAATGTTCCTAATAGAATCTAAATAATTAATGCCATCCACTTGTTTATCTTTAATTATCAAAAAAAGAAATGTTTTGAAATTTTGGCTAACCAATGGTTATAAATTTCAATAATCCACATGTAGCCATAAATTATTTCGTATTTCAAAATATTAATATGAGAAAGAATTTCTTAAACAGCTAGAATCCTTAGTTGACTTTGCTACAAGTAACATACCCTGTCCTCAAGCATATAAACAACTGAAAATCAGTCAATAACTTGAGATTACTTAAAAACTGTAAAATTCAACACAGAACCATGACAACTATTTCTCTTAATTTACACTTGTGATAGAAAAAGGGTTAACCTGTATCTTGACAGTAAACAATTCACAATACATTACAAACAACAGTGGTTGTATGCGTACATTAGAATGTATTTGAACAAGCTTAAGAAATAGTTCAGATTTCAGCTGTTTTCCAACATTACAACATTAAACAAATAGGACCAAAAAGGTTTAATAATGTCCATTTTGTGTGATCAATACCACAGTCTGCATTCAAAAAGGACCTTACATGCAGGGTAATGGAATTAATACTTGATATAATTTGTAAATGTTTAAAGCAAAGATTTATACATACATCTGTATACAGATATATGACTTAGTGGTCTGTCATCCAATGTGAAAGCTAGTGGGACTAAATCCAAAGCAGGGTCAAACCCAATAATTTACTCTCTGCATCAGATATAACATCCCCATTCTGACCATAAGTGGTTGCAAAATTTGGGTGCGTCTAAACACTGCTAAGGAGTCCTTAGTGCACTAAGGACTTATAAGATGCCACTAAGGACTAGATGGGGTGCTGTTACATGTAATTTGTTTTCATATTATGGTAGAGATCGATATTTAATGCATAAAATTCAAATTTTGTAGAAAAATAATCACAAATAAATCAGTAATTTAACATTGTTTAGACACGTGCCGTTTTTTCTTTGATATTGCCGAAAATCAATGAACCGTTAGACACGTGTCAAACTACATAACTGATAACACTGTTATCTTAATTTGGAACAAGTATTTAACAGTTGTATCGCTAAAAAATTGCCAAAAGTTAGATACGAATAAATGAATTATTTTTCAGTTTCAGATTATTTCAATGATCAAATTTGATTTAATTTCGCACTGAATAAGTTGTTTAAATTTTATTAATTTTTTTTTCAGAATCAAGGATTTGTATATTTCTTGAAAACTTATTTAATAAATAATAATCATGTAAACAGATGTATTTAAACATGAACTGTTTGCACAGTGTTTATTTCTTTTGCGTTTGCTATGGTTCATTTTCAAAATTTATTATTATATAAATAACACGTTTGAGCAAGGATTTGTATAAAAATCCTTGGTTTGAGCAATTTCTTTCAGGACAAAAACGAATTCTATATGAAAAGAAATTTTTACTTCATGCAACCAAACTTATATAATACATGAACCGTTTGGGCGGAAGATGTGGTATGATTGGCGATGAGACAACTCTTCACAAGAGACAAAATGCCACAGAAATTTATTAATTATAAGTCACCGAACGGCCTTCAAACAATGAGCAAAGCACATACCACATAGTCATTATTTCATAAATTATTTCGTATAATATCTTAAACAGAGAATTTGGTCAATAAAATACACATCGGATTTCCTTCTGACATACTTGTTTTTAAAAAAAAAAAAAAATCTTTTTTTTTTCATATTTTACATCGGATAGA